GAAATGCATTTTACTCGATTTTACAACGCATTTCTTTAAGTGCCTGTAAACGGTGAAAATTGGACCTTTGACCTGACCTGTGACGTCATCGGTTTGACCTAGGCCAATAAAATTGGGTCACAAGGTAGTTCCCCGTTGGGGCTATCCAACGCCGTTTACCGCTTGTCGCTATGTTGCGTGGTTCTCGAGATCTTAGGGGGGGGGGGCCAAAATGGCCCCCCCCCCCAACCGGGCGCGTTGCTCGGCAGAGCCCAACGGGGCGCGGGTTAAACGCCATCGTAAGGGTCCTCAAAAGTCGTCGTGAGGAGCTTCAGAGGTCATGGTTAGGGCCATCGTAGTCCGCCGCGGCCAAACAAGCCTCCGTGGTGGCGTTCGGAGACCGTTGTGGGGCTCTTATAGGTCTTCATGAGACTTGAGGGACCTCAAGACCAGGTTTTAAAAAGGTATTACTAAAAAGGGATTTTTATATCCTTTGACTAGCCGATGGGTCAACGCATTGGTACTAATCCGCCTAATGCATGCTCTTTTACTCCAGATTTTTCCGTATATTTCTATAAACAACATAGTACATTATAGCTCTTCTAAATGACGTTCAAATTTCATTTCATATCGACCTCCTTATTTTTGTTACGAGCGAGCGAGCGCAGCGAGCGAAGCGAGTCTTTTCAATATAACGGAAAAATCTCAGTATGAGCGGCCCGGCCCGGCCCGGCCCGGCCTGTAACGCTTTTGAGAGGCTTATATCTCAGCAACCGCTGGACCGATTGGCCTGCGGTCTTTTTTGTTGGGTAGCCCCATCCCTTCTACCCCGTAATTGACTACTTGTGATACATCTAAGTCACCGTCGTGGCACGTGCCACGTGAAAAGTCAAGGGTGTTCAAGCAGTTTTGCAAAAGTAGTGATTTTGAGAGGCCCATATCTCAGCAGCGGCTTGAGCGATTGTCTTGCGGTCATTTTTATAGGGTAGCAGCATCCCTTCTACCAAAGGTCGGATACTCTCGATGCATGTGGGTCACCCCCAGTGCACGTGCAAAATACAACAATAAGAGGTGTCAAATTTGTTTCCATTTCAGTAACTCGGTAATTACTGGGGCGATTTCGCTGATACTTGGCATACAGGTAGGCACCCACCAGGCAATGCATTTCCATGTGTTGCGGTTAGAGTGCTACTGCACGTGCGCACGTGCAGGGGGCGTTTCCAGATCTCGAGAATGGCTGGGCCGATTGCGCTCAAATTTGGTACACGGTTGGGGACCGGTTAGTAGGGTGCCGTGCAAAAGTCATTTTGGACCCCGTTTCACGTTTGCACGTGCGCACGTGCAGAATGCCGCTTCCAGATCTCAGGAACGGCTGGGCCGATTGCGTTCAAATTTGGCACACTGCTAGCGACCGGTTAGAAGGGTGCTTTGCACAAGCCCGTTGGAAGAATCCTCTCGCCCTTCCGCACGTGCAGGGCTCACTATCTCGCTCGCTCGTTCTTCGCCCAAAAGGCGTTTTACTGGTTAGTAAATTGACCAACAAATGTTCCCCAGCATTGTGACGCAATCAACTGCTATTTTCCAGTTCTGGGGTTGCGGTGAGCCAAATGTGAGTGCCACTGAGGAGGACTGCGTTGACCTGCACCACGTGCCGTTCTGGAATGACTATGTGTGCGATAAGCGTTTGTTGTTTATTTGTAAGATGAAACTGATCTAGTTAGGTACGTCTAGGGCCCGGGTTACGTCAGTTTCCGACCTTTCAGAACCCCGTTTCTCGCATCCCCTTCCGGGTTTGTGAATTCATAGGGTCAAAAATAAACGATGCTGTTAAAGTGTTTTCATGTGGGTGGCCCTAGCACGAATAGGCTGTGGCCAACCAGATACCTATCCACATAGACCCGGGAACAGGGGGGGGGGGCAGCGGGGGCGCTTGCCCCCCCCCCAACTTGGGAGCCGAGGGGGCGGCGCCCCCTCAACATTGAGGCAGCGAGAAAAGATCGTTCCTCCCTTTTCCGGACTTCTTTCCTTCTTGTTTCCTTTATACATCTAAACATCAACACACGGCATTTTCCTTGCCATCTGAATGGTTTCTGCTGATACAGTGTCGATTTGACAACATCTGCTATTGTCATCCCGCTTTGATTTGGGCCTGACCTTGGTCATAAGTTTGGCAGGCCAGATTTTATACTGGACCATTTTGAGTCAACTTTGAGAAATACATAACGTATAACAACGGTGGTAAAATCGTTGCTATAGGTATAACACAGTTTACCCGCTCCGGGTGTGAGGGAGGGGTGTGGGGCAATGAGTGCACTGCGTGGCTCCCTCGGAGGGCCGGTATGGGATTAAAGCTCAGCGACACTAAGGGCTTGTGTAGTGCCTTCGGTTATCGGTAGCATCCTCAGAATCACCGGCGTAGGGCCCTCAGAGCCACCGGTAAGAGACCTTTAGAGGCACTGGTGTGGGGCCGCCATGCAGGTGCCGGTGTGGGCGCTCAGAGGTGCTAGTGTGATTCTCTCAGAGGCGCCGGTGAGGGTCCTTACAGGCGTTGCTGTGGGCCCTCATAGACGCTGGTGTGGAGCCGTCACAGACGGGTGTGGGGCCTTAAGAGCTGCTGACGCGAACTCTCTACAAGCCGGCAGGGGGTCTCAGTGACCGGCAAGGGGTCCTCAGAGCCGCCGATTAGGGCTTTAATAAGCACTGGTGTAGGCACTCGGGTGTAAAACCCTAAGCACCGGTGTTTGCCCTCATAGGCGCCGACGAGGGCCCCACAGTTGCCGTTATGGGGCCCTCAAAAAAATAATTGTGGGACCATCACAGGCGGGAAATGCCCCTAGAACAGGCCCCTCATAGGCCGGTAAGACCTCTCAGAGGCTAGTAATGGGCCTTTGGAGACCACCGAGGTGCCCTTAAAAGCCGCAAGAGGCCCTCAGAAGCCGGCGTGGGGCCCGTATGGAGATTTTAGTGTGGCTATTTAGGGCCCATGAGATGCTCTAACCCATGGGGCCCTTCTGAGTAGAAATATGGCCATTGTTAACCCTCAGCGGTCAAATGGCGCCGCAGAACCCCTCGGACCCGAGGGTCCCTTTGAACCCGATGGGGGGGGGGGGGTACGTGTCGCCTTAGACCCCTAGCTACGCCACTGTTTCACATGCATCATGTCAGGTATTTTAGGCTCGCCCCCCCCCCCCCCCCCAACTTGAAAATCGTTCCCGGGCTAATCACAATGCAAATGGTACGAACCCTGGAATTTCTGCTTCGTATCTGCAGATACAAAGTGAGGCAATGAAAGGGTAAACCGATCAATCTATTGCGGTTAGGGGCAAATATACTTCATTACATATACATATTTAGTTACAAACCATACCTAGCCTATTGTCCTTTATAACACAGCTAGAAGAGCATCTCTTATCAAGAAGAAGGCGATTGGTGATGCCTGACAAACTCTGTTCTCTAAATTTTACCATTAAATTTCGATCTAGGCAGGTCTCCACCAAGTCTTTTTGGAGGTGATGGATAAACCAGGTTACTCTCACAAGTTTTGAATTTCATGGCTGTGTGGTAAATATTTGTAAACCTGCTGTATTACAAAGTATGCAATGATAGAAACAAGCAAAGACACGCGTACAATTCACACGTAATAAAAAGTCCGTTAACGCATTATCGCTATATTTTTATGGTCTACCCAACACTTGCAACAAGTGTAATACGCAACTCAACCCGACACTCATGCTGTATGGCGTTATAAAAGGACCGTCGCGTCAACATTCACAATTGACTAGCAGCAACACCGAAAGGAGATTCTACTGAACCTTGCCACGAGAAAATACACAACAAACGTCACACATACACGCTCACTCATACAAGACGTTTCGAGCGACATTTACCAACGTGGATCATATTTTTTGTGATCCTTTCAAATAATTATAGTCTGTTTTTCTAATGATCGCGGATCGTTTTAAGCGCACAAATTAATACGGCACGAGAAATGCAATAGGATTGAAGAGAAGGTCAAAAAGAAAAATCAAGAGTAAGCTGATATTTTCAGCTGGCTTCTGTTATAGGTGTTGGTGCTTCACGTGCGCTTTTCACTAAAGCGCTTAAAGCGATCCGCCATCGTTAAAAATAGACTCTAGCGTTGCATTTTGTTGAAAGGCGTGGCAATGCTCCCTAAAAACTTCAGAATGTGCAATCCATTTGCATCAAGGAGTTCAGATTTAAGTATAAGTTAACTTATCCTAATACAATACCGCAAAAATACAAATAAATATCTACAAACTGAATACAATGCACAGGAACGAAAGAAACCATACCACTTCCCACTCATCTTACCATTCATAGGATTATACAATAAAGCGATCCTTTGCATCAATTGTCATGAGCAGTTCACGCAATTTCTAAGCATGAGCTGCATTTCATCGCACAGTGCACACGCCAAACAATACCATAAATATATCCACACATTAAAACTGCATGAGAAATGTTCTCATTGAGTATCGGCACAGATGCCAGGGAGGAATTGAGAGTATTGTTCACATTCGCATAAGTAACAAGTTTGGTGGTTCATGGACGCCGTCGTCTACACTACGAATTTGATTTTGTAAGGAAGACACAGAGGCATTTTGGCACTAATGCAAGGGACAATCTTAGTGAGTGCATTAGAAAGTAATGCATGCAGAGAGGTGTAAATATTAAAAACGGGAATTCTTAGGAGCTGTTGAGAAGCGAACCATATTATATGATCGAAATTCAAAACAGGTAAGAGATAAAAAGCTAGCAGACTATATCACACTGTCATTCGAAAACTGAGCGACGTCAACACTTTGGTAATAACTGCATTCACTACCCATAATAATGCGGCACACAGTGAAGTGCTTTAGCAATGCAGTTAAAAACATACGCCACTTTAACAAATTATTCTGTTAGCCATGGGCTTCGCATTCAACGAACCTCCAACGCCCACTTGACGCGAACATACGAGTTTGGCAAATATTTGATTAATACCGCCTGGTGGCCTTTGCAATGGCTTCAGATTTGTCGAAAGCCTGGCAATATCAATTAATGGTAATGGAAACAGCTGCAGTAGGCTTCAGGCTTCCACGTCGCAGTCGTCCGTGAGTCTACGACATCAGTCAACAGAGCCTCGCAGTCAGTCATCCGGCAGATTCCTGCAGTCAGTCAACCTTCGAGGCAGTTGAACAGCCAGCGCCAATCAGAAGCGCGTGCTCAAGGCCACCAGTCTTATTCATCTCGCCAGGGCCAATCAACGAGCTTTCCTCAAGGTCATCATACGCTGCTGGGAGCCAATCAGGAAGCTCTCCTCAAGGCCAGTGAGCTCCATCAACCAATGAAACAACTCCCCTCAAGGCCAGTGAGTTCCACCAGCCAATCAAGCAACTCCCCTCAAGGTCGGTGAATTCCACCAATCAGAAGTCAGAACACATTCCTCAAGGTCAGACGCGCAGGCCGGCCTGAGCCTGGACGATGCGCGCCGCGTCCTCCCGACCCATAATGCGCAGAATGTTGATTAGTTCCGTACAGGACGACTGTTCAGGGTGCCGCGCCTCCCACAGGTCCAGGATCGGCTCCGTCGGAGACTTCTTGGTGGCGAAGTAGTTGACGTACCTGTGGTGAAAATAGTTGAGGTTTTAGTGTGCGGCAGATAGGAATAATGACTTGTTTAAATGAATTTAAGCAGCAAGCAGCAGCAGAAAAGCAGTTTCAACGGCAATCAAATTACAGTCCACACAACTGGCATTGTTGAGAGACAAATGAACGCTTTTAATAATGACTTGAGCGTGATGCAAACACCATTTAGCTATAAACTTCGCAGTTGCGTGCGATTTGGGGGCTTATGACCACAAACTGCTCGAAATCAACAGCAAAAACTAGATGAGTGGAGAATGATGGTTGGTTGTGTATCAATAGGGTACATGGAAGGCTGCGAATGTCTATTTTGGCGTCCAAAGAAAGACATAAACCACCACCCCTGCAAATACATCTGTCATAATAAACAAACAGCAATAACATTTCCCATTCGATAATAACCAATCGATGCAGGCATTTAACACAGGCAGCGGGAACCACCCTTTCATTGCCTGCTGACAGCTTTGTGACCAAGTTATTGGCAGCATATTACAAATTTGGCTCATTGCCTACCTGTTGACCTGCATCATCTGTGCCAGCATTCTCCAGTCGTTGCCGTAGGGATTCGGCGGGTTCAGACACTGACACAGTCGCTGCTTGGTCTCGGCTGATAACCTGCCCACGGGCCGCTCGGAGGAGAATGTGGAAGACGCCGGGGACGGTCGAACTGGAGGTGGTACGCCAGCCTGTAACACACAATAGCCAGAGGTCAGACCACGAGCAAGGTTATGTTAGGTCAGGTCAGGTCAGGTCAGGTCATGGTCATGTGTCAGACCAGGAGGTGGTTTAATGTTGAACCATAGACCTCTTTACCGCAGAGTGCACACCAGGTATACAGTGTGGTCCATGGTTTAATATTTAGGCCAAAGGTGATCATAGGCTAGGTAAAAAGGTCGTCGAGTTTGAGTTGAGGTCGGTATGAACTTGGTTGTTGAAACCTTTAGTACCAAGACGATTTAGTTATACGCCAGTCCTGGTTATTTTTATCAAAATAACCACCACCCAGTAAGACTTATGATGAAAAGTTATTTTTAGAAGTACCTACCAACCGCCTTCTTTGCTAGACCAACGGAAATAAAATCGAAGCAATATCGCATATATGAGCCATTAGTTTCATAGTAAAAAGCACAACATCACTCGAGCTCGGGATATTTTTAGTTGGCGCAATACGCGAAATGCGCAATACGCTTTTTACTTTTTAGTGTTTGGCAGGCCGACTTATGAAGCCATAGTCGATCTTAAACTACCTTTTGATACAAGTCTATTTGGTTGCTCGAGCATTGTTTGATAAAACGTGGTTCCGCCCCAACTCCCAAGTGAATAAAATCTTAAAATAATTACGGAGCGAGCGAAGCGAGCGTAGTCTTTCCTTAGATTAACGGAAATTTCTGAGTATGAGCGGCCGGCCGGCCGGCCGGCCGTGGTCACGCTTTTGCGAGGCTTATATCTCAGCAACCACTCGACCGATTTACACGCGGTAATTTTTGTAGGGTAGCTTCATTCCTTCTACCAAGTATTGGACTATTCCTGATGCATGTAGGTGACCCCTTATGCACGTGCCACGTGCAAAACGAAGAGGTGTCCGTTTTGTAATTGTTGCAATATCTCGATAACTACTTGGCCGATTGCGCTGAAAGTTGGCATGTAGGTAGGCATCCACTAGGCACTGCATATCCATGTGCCAGAGTTGGGGCGCTGCTGCACGTGCGCACGTGCAGGGGTCGTTTCCAGATCTCGAGAACGGCTCGACCGATTGCGCTCAAATTTGATACACGGTTAGGGACCGGTTAGTAGGATGCCGTGCACAAGTCAGTTGGGACCCATTTTGCACGTGCGCACGTGCAGGGTGCCGCTTCCAGATCTCGAGCCGGCCCGGCCCGGCCTGTAACGCTTTTGAGAGGCTTATATCTCAGCAACCGCTGGACCGATTGGCCTGCGGTCTTTTTTGCTGGGTAGCCCCATTCCTTCTACCCCGTAATTGACTACTTTTGATACATCTCAGTGACCGTCGTGGCACGTGCCACGTGAAAAGTCAAGGGTGTTCAAGCTGTTTTGCAAAAGTAGTGATTTTGAGAGGCCCATATCTCAGCAGCCGCTTGGGCGATTGTCTTGCGGTAATTTTTGTAGGGTACTGCATCCCTTCTACCAAAGGTAGGATATTCTTGATCTATGTGAGGGACCCCCACTGCACGTGCAAAATGCAAAAAGCAGAGGTGCCAAATTTGTTCCCATTTCAATAACTCGGTAACTACTGGGGCGATTTCGTTGAAACTTGACATACAGGTAGGCACCCACCAGGCAATGCAGTCCCATGTGTTGCGGTTAGGGTGCTACTGCACGTGCGCACGTGCAGGGGGCACTCCCAGATCTCGAGAACGGCTGGGCCGATTGCGCTCAAATTTGGTACACAGTTGAGGACCAGTTAGTAGGGTGCCGTGCAAAAGTCAGTTTGGACCCCTTTTGCACGTGCGCACGTGCAGAATGCCGCTTCCAGATCTCAGGAATGGCTGGGCCGATTGCGTTCAAATTTGGCACACCGCTAGCGACCGGTTAGAAGGGTGCTTTGCACAAGCCCGTTGGAAGTACCCTCTCGCCCTTGCGCACGTGCAGGGCTCACTATCTCGCTCGCTCGTTCTTCGCCCAAAAGGCGTTTTACTGGTAACATAACATAAGTTACATAACAGTACACGATATTCTTTGTATGAAAGGTCGCAAAGGAGAATTAAACGGTGATAAATTCCACTTTTTCTGTCGCTTGAGCACCTTGTCTCTGTTTTGATCAAATTAGAGTGTGTTTCCCATCTGAATAATATAATTACCAATACAAGTAGCGTTTAAATATAGCGCATACCATGACATCACCACACTCCACAACCCGTTCCAAACTCGCTCTATTACCTGACTATCCCCATCGCTTGATGACGTCACACGCAGAACCTGGCGTCGGATCTGGCTGCACCGCTGGTACACCTGAATCCGACCCGAGAACGCCAGACTGTCACGTGCCGCCGCGTGACCCACGTGCTCCAGGCTGAACGACGCGTGCAGCAGGGAGCACGCGCCGCTCCACACGTGTCGGAGCGGGATCTCCTGTAATGAGATATAAATATCAATTAATGCACGCGCTATGTCAGGGAATGACAGTTCGTTAGCACTATGTTTTAGGGCCTTGGCTAGCACGGCCTATATGAGAGAGCCTATGATGAAAATTTCACAGAATACATTCATTTCTCATAGCCCCTCTTTCTTCAGAAGGCATTCAGAAGACATGTTGTAACCTGCAATGCTATAAGTGTAGTAACCTGCAATGCTATAAGTGTACTGGCACTGACTTGTTGCGAGGGTTGAGAGCGACACCTCCACCCCAAACTGAGGTCCTCCAAAGTGACACAGAGACCTGCGCCGCCACTCTGGTACGGCAGCGTCTTCGACTTGTCCATCATCCTGCCGCCCAGGCGCCGCTCCAGCTGACAGACGCTCTGTGGAAGAGAAGGGAAGGGGGATGTCAGACTCTGTCGGGGGAATGGAAGATGCCAGAAAATGTGTGTGAGTAAAGGGAAGATAATATGTCGGAGGGAAGATGTCAGACACAATGCGGCAGGGAAGGGAAGATTTCAGACAATATGAGAGAAAATGGAAGATGTCATACGAGTATACTGTAGGAGAGAAGATGTCAAACTCTGTAGGAGGAAATAGGAAATGTCAGAATATGACGGTGTAGTGATATGCACTGCGTTCGTTATTTTAAAAGGGACCACAAAGCTCGACTAGCTTACCTAAGCAGTAACTACGAATCTTACAAATTTCATACGGCCCTTAGCCAAAAGCTTAACTAAAAGCTAAAAGCTTAGTCCTGAGCTTAAGGCTGACTATAAAAAAGATAATCTAAGCAGTCACGTTACACTAAAAACTCATACAAATATGCCAACTAAGTGGAGATTACATTCAAACATCCCAGCTGTCCAATCGACCCCCTTACACACAAAACAAAAGTACCTAATTACACTATGATCTCAGTGAGTCCGTTACACTACCCCTATAAGGACACCCATACTATCCCCACTATACACCCAGAGTAAACAAACCCCCTGTTCCCCCGCTCCTTACATCCAGAGCCGCGCGGGTATCGTCCATGATGTAGACCCTCACGCAGGACTCTGTAGCTGACACCACACGGGGGCCAAACGCTGCCAAACGGAGGTTCTTCACTGCCGGGGCTGTCGACAAAACGGAGAGATCAGTGACTAAATGCGTCATTGCAGGGCGACGGAGGCATTAATGCTGCTGATTGGGTTCAGGAAGTCAGGCGAGTCCCAGCGCTGCCGACCCGAGAAGGCTATTTTTGATGTAATTGAGGGTTATCCACAAGGCTGAAATTCATTAGATAATGCGCCGTGTGCGATCCATCAATAAAAGCCACTGAAAGCCGCAAAATATTGAACAAGAGTTGCCACATGCGTTTTGACATGAACAAGTTCTACGTTTCATGTTTTATGTCACGTGTTTCATTTCTCACAGTTTTGGGATGTCCAACTGTTTTTTTTTTCTTTATCTCACCAGTGCATGGTTCTCCAACTAGTGCCAGAGCCTGCAGGCAGTCTGTGAGAACGTAGGCTTTGGCCTGGTCCAGCTGCACGTAAATCGGTGTGTTGATGGTCTCCTGACCTAGAGTCACCGCTCGCTGAAAAGGAGACAGAAATAAAGTAACTGCGGTTAACAATTATTATCAATAATCATACTAATTGATGTTAGGCTATACACTCAATCAACTGGCAACAAAAACTCTCCATTTCCGTAATGAACATTGACTTCCTTGATACCTTACAGTAGGTAAAAGACAACAATATGTTATATTTATCATTTAACACAAGAGTGTATCATATTGTTTCTTTAAAACCATCTAAAATCCTGACAGGAATAGCATGAGATTGTTTGTTTATTGGGGCATTATGGGGGCGTCAACTACAATTATCATTTCGCAATAGCTCCCCAGCCAGCAAATCGAGGCTTTCCCCTATACGGGGAAGCCCTATGGCGGGCTTAAAACATACTTGGGGAAACCCCGACCGTTTGCCTGGGGAAAACGGAGCATTCACTTGGCATTTGAGATACTTTGTACGCGGAACTAGTGGCGCGGGATTCGTACGGGGAAACGGTATAACTACCCAAGCGTTCCCCAAACGCTCCCCAAGCTACCCCGCGCCGACTATGGTTAGGCAATTATCACTTAAACAGACTAAACTAGATAAGCTAGAGTTCAGCGATCAAAAGTAAACTACCCGACCCAGGTAGACCTACACCATAGAACTACGCCAACTTCGCCTCACCTGCCACTGAGGAGTCTCATCTGCCGGACTCTCGCTAACGTGCACAGACGTCAGCCAAGACGTCTTCAGATTGGCGCAGTGGTGAAAGCCAACGACGACAGGCTTTAGGAACTGCGTACCCGGAGGGCCCACCAGGATCACCGGAGACAGAAGTGTCTGGTTCTCTGTAAGAATGGGTCGGGGAGGGTCAACTTTGGGGATAATGTCAAACATCTTTTACAGAAATGAGAAATGCGATCCGGTTGTACATACCTAGTTCGTGTTCATATATGTTTATATGGACAGAACATTGATATGGTGGCAATAATTTGGGCACCTACTCTTATACCTTGCGTTAGAAAAGAACAGAAGAAGCAAGCCTAGTAAATGCGTTAGAAATCATAGCAACTATTATATAAAAGCATAACATCTTTCATGGGGCATCAGACATCTATCGCAATTCGCAGCAAGTATTTTCTTTGTATGTAGGTACCCTTTAAGACCATATACCACTTCCCAATCTCGCTCACCATTTAGTTGCGGCTTCTCTCGCGCGTCACTGGCCACGGCCAGATACACTTCCTCGGCCTGTCCAGCCGGGACGGCTCCCTCGGGAATCACCAGGGTTACACCGGCATTGGGCAGACTGAGCACCGCACCGGCAGAGGTCACTGGAAGGGCAGGGAGGTTACTGTGAGGTCATAGAGGTCACTGTTATGTCAAATAGTGGAGGTACCGATAGGTCGTCACAGGTCACTGGAAGGGCAGAGAGGTTACTGTGCGGTCATAGAGGTCGCTGCCATGGCACGACGTATAAGACTAAAGTGGAGGTCACCGACATGTCAAAGAGCTCACTGAAGAGTCACCGTGAGGTCAAAACGGTGACCTGCCAAATTACAGAGGTTACGTTTGTTTTGTTAGTTTTGTTGGGTCAGGCTCTTTCGGTCTGACAAGACCATTTCAGAGCCGAAAGGATGATAAGAATTTGGAGAGACATTGGTCTGGGCAGGCACCCTAGTGAGTCGCCGGGGCTGAGCCCGTCCAGAGGACAGGCCACCCAGCCCCAAGGCACTCACTGCACACGGCTACGGGGTGCGCTCCCTCGGGAGCAGCGGCGCCGCTCCAAGGGAGCAGCCCGCATGAGATAAAGTTGCCTGTCTAGCCCGGAGGGGGTTACGGCGTGAAGGAGAGTGATTCGAATGTCCTGAGGATGGAAACGACTGGCGGGGTGATAATGATATATGTTAATGATAAGCCAAGGAGGTCATTCCAAGATTAAGTGGACCAGCGTGAAAATAACCCAAATTGGGTCACAATGACGAGATGCTATTGGTGTGGGCTAGAAGAGCAGGCAACAAATCACGGGTTATTCAAAGCAGCCAGAAAAAAGATGTTACAAGGCGAGGAACATTCATTAGAGTGCAATCATTTCCTCACGCTCCGCCGCCAACTGACCTGTGCCGAACTCGAGGTTGTCAGGGTTGACACTAGATGGCAGTGGCGATGAGAGCAGCGACTGGCGACACGAGGACGGCTCCGCGTCGTACAGAGAATTCGGGCGAGATGTCGCTGAAATGAAACAGCTCTGTTAGATGTCGTAGGGCAAAGGTTGGAAGAAACATTCAGCAACCCTCATGGAGTTGCTGAAGGTACGATAGATTGATCTCGTCAATATTTTCTGCCACATTGGACCTACTAATCAAAATGACTATATCTAATTTATACGCCGACAACTTATCATTGATGGAAGGCCTAGGCCTTCCATCAATGATAAGTTGTCGGCGTATAAATTAGATATCGTTACCTAGGAGTCCTTGATGAAACATCAAAATGACTATTACGAGTATATGTTATCATTTTGATGACCATGGAAGTTGATTGCGACTAAGCGGTTTGAGACTCAAGATAACTCAGTGAGCGGATTTGGGTTCGACAAAGACCACCAAAAAGTATGATCTATAGGCAAAATGAAACACGTTCCGTTTCAAATATGTAAGGCTGTAGTTTAGCACTTCAGTGGCAAGCTACAAGAGAACAAAATGACCTAAGTGGGGCAGTAGAGCGTAAGCTTCAATAGAGTAAGTAACACGACAGGCAATTCGTCGGGACTCGGGCGTTATCTAAAGTTAAAAAAGAAAAGAAAACAAAACAAAAAATAAGCTGCGTCCAACTCACGTGAGCTACAGTAGGACGACGAGCTGTGATGGGGCGTGCTGCGGGAGCCGGCGGAGCCGGAGGAGCCAGCGGAGCGCTGGGAGCTCCGGGAGCCGATAGAGGGCGCGTCGGGAGCCGCTTTAGAGGTGGCTCCGACCGACCCGCCAGGCGGCGGCAGCAGCGGCTCGTCGTAGAGGGGTTCGGAGCGGCCCAGCAGTCCTGAAACGAGCCAGAGAACAGGCGTGAAGATGATACACAGGTTGACTTTCGCGTGCTGGCAGGCTCCACGCTTATAGAATAAATAATAGTTCGTGATTAATTCATACGAGTTTGATCAATCTTACGGGATATGAGGAATATCGCTAACAATCAAGTATTTCAGGATATCCGTTGAGGGTCGATTACATGCAGCATGTAGCTTCAGCTGCTTCTTTGACGCATAGATACAACTTGAGTTGAGTCAATGGCCAATGCTAAAGCCTACCGTGGCATACAAGGCTCGTCAACTTGTTTGACCTCATCCCGGATGCTCTCAGTAACTTGCGAAATATGGGAGGTGCACTTCTGCATGTCCTTTTCCGACTTCATCTCTTTATTCAGCACTTTATCACTTTTTCGGTAGATCACCTGTCTCTCTATCACGAGATACATTAGCCGAGTCAGCACCATCTTCGCAACCATCGTGAGTCACTAGCCTCACGAGTCACGACTCCATGATCACGACTCGTGCCGGACGAACACGGTAAAACGCACGGCGACGACAGAGTCGTGACTCGACCCACGGTAATGTGACTCTAATGTGCTGAATATATGTAGCGTGGGTACGTCGAAGATGCATTATGGAAGGACGAAACACCTATCAGGCAAGGTCGCGATGGCTTCCAACAATCGAGTTATCGAGTCTATCTTGCTTGACGTGTTCTTGAAACTGGCCATGGGTGGAGAAAAGGGCACATGCATACGCAAAGAGCTATGTAAATATGCACACAAAGAAATGTAAATTGGATGCTTGGCTCTATGCCAATTTTAAACATACCAGTGGCAGGCTTCCCTCAGCTGTTCAACAATCGTCCAGTTGCTTACAATCGTCCTCAACACCATCTAAAATGATTCTGTTATCTTCTACAAACATCAACATGCCATTGACCTTCAAGTTACTTGAGGAGAGTGTGTCTATCCATCCTACATTCACCCTACTATCTACCTAAGCCCTTTCTTCGTGCAAGAGTAAATACGAATTTTCATCGACTTGTGAGAATATCTGGCAGCGTTCGCAAGCAATAAGCACAGTCATATCTACATAAACCTTTTCATTGACAGATGAGATCATCGAGCAGCATTTCGCATGCCATAAGCACAGTTACCATGTCCGTTTACATATCACACAGGTAGATTAGAGGGTGCATATTCACTATTATAGTCTGACAAACCTAAGAAAGAACAGATTTAAAGCGCAAGCGCTGTTAATGTACGGGGCTTTTATATTGCCCCATATAAATATGAGAATATTTCTCTTCTCTCACAGCTTTTCACACACGTTTCTCCGAATTATACTCGTACATTTCAAGTGATCAGAACACGTGCAGGATTCAGGCGCTTTCTTAGGTATAGTTATCGAGTTAAACTCTCACCAGTTCTCCGATAGCCAGCGTCCAGCCGGTTGTAGCCGTAGTCGGTGACCCGGCTCGGGGGCGTTGACCCCAGCCCAGAGGTCACGGTCGCCGTCAGGTCAGGCGTATAGCTGAGAGGCTTCTTGTTGTGGTCGTAATACTTGGACTCGTAATCTGACGCAGCCAAGAGACGCAAATACAATGAAAATAATGAGGGAAATAGCAGATGTCATTTAATAATTTCATTTTATTCATTTCATGTTACCTAGGTTTAGCGGTTACTTGTGTTGAGCCTTTTTTAGAAGCAACTTTCTTTCTGTATTGCTATTTTGTAAGCACCAAAGTCAAGCCTAAATCAAGTCAAACATACACACTTTTAAAATTATGTTAGCCAATTCGTGCATTAACTCATATTACCCATCTCAAGGTTCCAGCTTCTTACCTCTCTCCGTCAGGCCGTACATGCTCTGTCCCCTTCCCTTCCTTCTGTACAGCTTCAGAGCGAGCAGAGCTATCAGTGGGAAGACTACCAGAGCCACGGCCAGACCCACGTACAGCGCCACGTCCGACCTGGCCACTGCACGGGCCGCTGAAATACAGCACAGGATACGCGTCAGCATACCACAGTACAGCATGTCGTGTACGAAATGGGACAACAACGCACTAGTACACCACTATACATGAACTGAGCTGATGTATAGACATTATACCATTGATATGCATAAATAAAGGATATAATCCGACCAGGGATTGGAATTATCTTTAACACGACAAGCTGATCGAGTCGTTTAATCATAGGAGCAGACAAAATATATTATAATATTTACAATTAAACGCAGTATCCTTCTGGAGGTTAATGAGGCTTTTGATTACTATCTTTCTAGTTGAGGTTTATTTGCCATTGGGTCTACAGTGCAGGGATATTTCTATCTCGCACTCCTCTGAGATGCAAAGATAAGAATTTGTTATATCTGCATCCCTCTGAGATGCAAAGATAAGGTCTCGAGGGTTCATAGCGAAAAATCAAGAGTTCATGTGATGATGGGTCAATAACCGAACGACATTTTTAATGGTTGTTTATGGATGAAACTTATGAAATAAGAACATACTACTCTGAATCTACTTTTATATAGATGAATGCATTTAAATATAATATTTTATTAATTAAGAATAAACCTCAACATAGAAAGATATAGGATTCCTCATGGCTCACTCGTGGAAGATCGGATATCTTTTCCTCGCGTGTTACAGAAAAACCTCGCTCCTTCGTCGCTCGGTTTTTCAGTAACCCGCTTGGAAAAGATATCCTTATCTTCCACTCGGAGCCATGAAGAATCCTCTATATCCCGTGAATGTCAACCAGCAAGTGTCCCTCATTTCTGGCATTCTGTCTAATCCGTAGGTATGCCCCGTTAGACTCATTCATCTCATCTGGGCGTTATCTCCAGTTTTGACAGCTGTCAATCATAAATGACGTATGGTCCGAGAATAGTTTCTGATTGTCAGTTAGTCATTCGTCACTTCTGTTTCGTGGTAGACAGAAGTCTCAAACATACCTTGGTCTGAAGCCGAGTTATGTCGAAGCACAGCTAAGGCGTCTGTGGAATGAACGAGTTGTATCAGACATGTGTGTAAAAACGACAACAATATTGCTACCAATATAATGCATGATGTGAAACGCACTGTACATATCAAACTAAACAAACGTCTTTCCTTCCTACGTTAGCCCAGTGGTTACATTGTTATAATACATAGTACATTCTGTCTTGCGAGAGTGTATTCTTATTTCTTACATACTCTCACAAACAAGGTGAGAAAGTTGAAAAGCTACGATACTCTAGCAACTTTCACGGTCGATAGCGCAACAGTCAGTTGTCAGTCTACGGTTCCAGCATCTTGCAATAAATAAGTAGCAGTGTTATACCACGATACTAACTTTGGCAATTGACAGCGGAGCAGTTGATAGTCTATGATTCCAACATAGTGTAATAAATAACAGACTGTTACAGTGAGGTACTTACTTTGACAGTCGACAGCAGAGCAGTTGCGATGTTCCCTGTCTGCCCCGGAGCAAGGCCTGCCCCCCTGGGCCGGGGAGGGGGAGGAGCAGGTCCGCTGCCGGCTCTGACGGCAGGTGATGTCACAGGCCGACCAATCACCGTACGGAGACCAGCCGCCGTCCACCGCTGGGGGAGCGACAGAACATATGACGTCATAACAGCAGCGAGCGGCCGTCCGTCCACCGCTGTGGAAGCATTAGATAATGATGTCATAAGGATACAGATCAGCCGTCCATCGTTGGACGTTGGGAACAACAGAACATATACCGTCACAAATACAACTACCAGCTGCCGTCCAAACCTGAGGGAGGAAACAGAGCATATGACGTAATAAGAACAAAGAGTGGCCACTGTCCGCCACTGTGGGAGTAATAGAACATATGAAGTCATAAGAACAACCAGTCGCCGCCTACCGCTAGGAGCAGAGGACATATGACGTCATGCGGACAACTAATAATCGCCGTCCACAACTGCTGGAACTTCAGAACATATGACGTTATAGTAACTATATGATGTCACACAATATAGCAAGAACATTCCTTCCGTCTCAAATGCTGTGGACAATATATGCATAATAGTGTGTTAAAAACAGCCAACCTCTACCGCCCACTACATACACTGAACAGCAGCACATTGTGATATCATACTGACGTCATAATGACGTGCGACCACCATTTAGCGACAAACCGATATCCTCACTGCCTATATCGGTGATGACGCCACAAAAAATGCACCAAATTAGGAGCGAACCGATTGACTTATCAGGTGCTTCATCAAGACAGTCTTGCAGTCAGAGCTACCTTAAAACTATAACCGCCTACGATTATGCCACCAATGAAATTCCTCCAAATGAAAACAGGTGTCACCTGACGCGTCCAAATGTGACCACCAGTTGACGGCAAAGAAGGCTCAAATATCAACCATCCCGACACAAAAATACATCCTGCGACATTATCATCGCCATAAATAGCTACATTTGCAGACAGGGGGGCGTGTGGACCAGTTTCATTGCAAACACAGCCGGAAAATGTGCTCCGGGGGCGGCACTGTACGTAAACTGAGGAAGGCAGGTGTCGAAGACGGACCAACACGACGCAAACGGTACAAATTGCCGCGTGAATCATAATGACGCAAGCCGTCGTGGCGATACGGAAGATTTCCGTGTGATTCTAGTGAATGGGGTTTGTACCCAGACAATAAGAATTAAAGTGGTCCGGTAAGTGGTAACTAACCTAGGCACAGGTAACCAAGTAAGCTAAGTTTCGGGGATTTGGGTTTGTGTACCTATATGTTGATGAAGCCTGGTTTACAGAGGACGCCTCCTATACCCAATACAACAGGACACAAGAATCTCCACCCCCGCCCCCGCGTGCAGGGCGAAAGGGTGTCACTTCCAGACCCCACCCTCCTCCTTACTCACGCGGAACCCAGCGCCTAGAGGACACCAGACCGCACCTCATCCAGCATTGAGAGGACGCCAGACCCCACCTCCTGCCCAGAGGACACCAGACCCCACCTTCTCCAGTAGGTATTGAGAGCACATCAGACTTCGCCTCCTCACCTCCATACTGTCACTAGTCACTCAGCAATGCACTGACGCCAGACTTTACCTCGTTCCCTAGTCACTCAGTATTGAAAGGACACCAGAGTCCTCCCCTCGTCCCCTCTTCAGGTGCTCCCTTATTCCTCAGTACTGAAAGGACACTAGACCCCTCCCCTCGCCCCGTACTCACGCGGACAGTGTGAGCTACACTCGGCAGTCTGCTGCTGCGGGCCTCGGCACGATCTTCCTCCGTTCAGGGGTCGGGGCGAGTCACAGGTACGGACTCTCTGGCGTCGGCCGGGCCCGCAGGCGGGCTCACAGCTGGACCAGACGCCCCAGCTGGACCAACCGCCATCCACTGGAATAGAGAGGGAAGGAGAGACGTCATTACTGGACCACACACCCCCAGCTCGACCAGCCGCCGTCCACTGAAATAAAGCTGAGAAGGGAGGTTTTATTGAAACAGCCCCAATATTTCTAAATTCAACGAAGAGAAATCGACGACTGGAACAACAACATCAGAGCTTTGAGATCTGACTAGGGTGACGTATATCAACTAACGAGACTCATGGTAGCTCCTTAATCGCATTTCTATCATGGATTCCGTCAGTGCCCAAGGCGCATCTAGGAGACAGTTTTTGGAAAGACACAACGTCAAAAGAACTCTTGTTTATATTCTATGCTCTAGATGTTGTACTACAAATGTTCGTCTATATAAATAACTTTATTTTGTCCAAATGCACGCTATATTACGGATTTCCTACCTCGATCTGCCTCTGCCCTACCTCCGTGGGTGACACACCGTATACCTAAACCGATAACCCCACCCTAGTAACGACAGGAACCTCTGCGGTTTCTGTGCCCCTTCCCATTACAGATATCCCCAAAAGGAGCGCTCCCTCAGCGAGCAATGACGTGCTCTTTGCCACTGAGTCACCTACAAAGTGATAGCCAAGCGCGCTAGCGCTGGTGACGACTTCATTCCAAACTTGTCAGCGATGTGGGAGCACAAGCCAGGTATGACCAGCCGCATTGGAATATCAGTGACCAGTCCGCTGCTGACACATATCAAAACCATTCATCTGCTCCGTCTTCAATATGCGCCTGGTGTGAGGTATTTCATAAATATTGCAATACGATGATAGCCAATATCCCCTATGCGTTACATATTGAGCGGCAGTGGCTTCAATTTATCACACCCCAAATACGGGAAACATCTCGGTACGTACCGAAAACAGTGAGCCGTGCTGGCGGACTGACGCGCCGGTTGGCCACGTTCTCTGCCACACAGCTGTAGTTGGCCATGTCGGAGAGCTTGGCGGCCACGATGAGGAGGTTGCCCTCCTTGGAGATGATGTAGTTGGGGTCCTGCTTGGGGTCGATGGTGACGCCGTTCTTGGTCCAGCTGATTGAAGGAGTTGGTTCCCCGGAAGGTGGCTTACAGCGCAGTTCCACAGTCTGGTCAACTTGAACAGAGTCGGGCAGTGGTGCTGTGGCGAACGACTTCTTCAGGTCTGTGGACAGAGATAAAATTTATTTCATTAGATGATGCTTCGGACAATGAACGTTGGGACACATCCACGGATCATGAACGGCAGGACGAGAGAGTAAAAGACGAAGAAATACCTATATAATGTTGAGCAGGCACTACATAGAAAGGAACACCATCTACGTCTTCACGTTGGTTTACTAAAAAGAAACCAGTCACATCATCCGCTGTCATACAATTGAGCATGAGGGTTCCACATCATAAACAATCCATGTTATTACGACGTCCTTGGGTAAGAGCTTTTCAACAATAATGACCAATTATGTGACAGTGCCTGCTCGATTCTATTTAGAACCACGGCCGAAACCGATCGCTATTGTTTGGCGTTAATGACTCGACCGCTGAACTCATTATCGATTCGAGCCAGCCATGAAGCGTCCGGCTCTGTAGCCGTTGCCAGTTCCGGGAGCAGTTTCACGCCTTTACCAAACATAATCGAACAGAAAGGCGGGTAAAATTTCTTGTTCTGTCTGCTTCTTTGACATTTAGCATTTGCTTTGGCTGTGTACAAATTGTCGGCCAGGGACTTCTGTCTTAGACCCAGATGCTGATCGATATTACGAAAATTGTGGTGTCTTACACTTAGGGTTTTGTTTATGTCTGTGTGCATTTGAATTCGATTAACTGAGGCTTCTAATATTTTTTGATGATTCCAAGGGGGCCACCCAAACGTGACAGCTAGCGGTCAATCATGTAGACGCCCGATTGCTTACAAAAGTTACTGAGGAAGACGTCAGTCATCAGATACCTCAACAATCATATTTCATACATCAAAACCTCATACAGCCATACCCACTGCCATTCATCTATAAATCCAGCCCACGCTCTGTCCCATGCCATTCTTCCCGCCTACGCCACTTCGCCTTCCTGATAAAACCAACCACTTACAGTAATCTCGTCACCGATCTAAATGGTCGACAATGCACGGGGCGTGACATCACAGTGCGTGATGACGACCGTCAGAAAGAGGGGGCGTCATCGGTGGGCGTCATCGGCCGCCATCCGCGCACCGTCATCGGAGGGGGCGTAGGGGGGGGGAGAATCGTGACAGATTACGGACGGTGAATGTTGGGAGGGGAGTCGAAAGAATCGTGACAAAACATAGTCGGTTAATTGTTTTAGGATCCCGCTTATGGGACCGCTCACCGAGAGGAAAATGTTCTAGAAGTCACGAGAAGAGGCTGTGATGAGGGCGTGGTTAGAGTGTGGAGGAACGGCGAAGACAATCAGACGACTGGGGCATCAGATAACAGCCTAGATGGAGAGGTAATTTGACGATGCACCGCCCCAGCCGACACGATTGCCATCATAATAAAGTGGTGCAGAGGTCGAAAGGCCGAGCGATTTCGAATCGTCCAATGGTTACGATTTGTTTTATCGGCTGTCGCTTGCCAGCGAATTGTGCGCTATTAGTGGGTGCATTCCAGTTCGTGTAACATAAACAAAGTGTGATAAAATCAGACAAGTGGTACCTACCCTAATCGATGCATCAAGACGGTACGAGTGTTTGATATTTCACGCATTCCTCATTCACGATCTATGCCTGGCACGAAGCATTTCGTAGATAACGTTTACCAATTCAATAAATGACGCGTGTGAGCTTTGCTGAGCAAAATGTATTGTTTTGTTCCTTCATTTCATCTTAAATGACATCTGAGCAGGGAGCTTGCTCAATACGCAGTGCTTGATTTGAATGGGTCATGGAAGGGGCTCAATCAAATCCATTGGTTACATGCTCTTTGGACAAACCACCGAGGCTCAGAGACTGCAAGTGAGGCTAGGCCACTAACACCGCCCATTAAAAGCCGCAGAGCAGATGTCGATTGTTTCAAAAGGATTTGGAGAGCACATACCAAGTCAACTCGCTATTTGCACAGATCAAGAACCAGCCAACAACTCAGCTGAAATATTATCCCAAAGCAAACTAACTGTACTGCCACTGATGGTCTGTTTGTCCGGATACAGCTGAAGTGGTGCTCTGTTGACATTTCCGGCGCAGCCGAAACACAGCGCGTCATCGTCGTCAGAATCAGTCGCGGCCGGCGAGTGTTTACCGCTGCTCTGAGGACACTCTGTCCTCCCAATTCCTCCGCTGGGACCGACAGGCGGCCCACAAAAACCAATCCCTCCTCCCCTCCCCTCCCGCCCCTCCCCCGCGGTGTCCCAATGGCTCATCACTCGGCCTGCCGGCCGGGGGCACATCAAAAGAAGAAAAAAGACCAACGCAAACAGCTGACAGCACCGGACAATAGGCTGACAGGGTGGTGAGGGCCGAGGGCCGCGGGAAAGGGTGGGACGATCGGAGAGCGATTACGACGGACTGATTTGCCCGAGATTGTGGAGGAGCGGATAAGTACCCTCACAGGGGAGAGTTGGGGAGGAGTAAGGACTGGTGAAGAGAGGGAGGGAGAGGGACTGTAAAGGATGGGACGGGTAACTGTCTGAAGGACAGAGCCAGAAAGGGGAGCCGTGGCAGGTGCCGGGAGTTACAATACCCGGTGATACACAGTAGCTACCCAGTTGAATGAAGCGGGAGAGTTCAATACTAAGGTGGTCCTTCACAAAGCCCTACTGCCGACAAAGGATACCACACAGAGGATACACTGAAGACGCATTGTCAAGGTGACAATACAAACACTACAGATACATGCGGGTTTAAGGCTGTCCCGGCTATCAAAGCAAAGGGGTGGTTTATCAAAGCACGAGTCTAACGTGAGAACGCCCGCACAAAGAGAGCAGTTTCCGGCCAGTGGATAGGAGTTGGGTAGGAACAGGCGATCGTTCGGATAATTTTGGACCATCAATATATTACAAGAAGGAAAGGGCTTGATCTTCTAACCTGGTATCCCGAAATACATTCATGCAACTGATGTTTTGCACGAAACTGCAACGAAATGACCCAATATGTGAAACTACGTGATGAATCATTAACCTTTTCCTCGAAGAAGTATAAACAATGCCAAAAGTTATATTTAATGCGGTGAGCTATCGGCTACAAGCCTTCGTCAAACCAACAAAATGACACGATACAAAATTCACAATTCAAAATTCAAATTTTCAATTTTGTATCGTATTATTTAGTTGGTTTGACGAAGGCTTGTGGCCGAAAGGTCACCGCATGAACTACAACTTATAGCATTGTTTTTACTTCTTCGAGGAAAAGGTCAATGATTCTTCACGTATTTATTCTAGCTACATATGTTCTATTTATACTAGCTGTATATGTTCCTCACTAAAGCACTTCACACCATTCATATGTGAAACTGTCGGATTGGACCTATGCCATGGAAGCATGTTGGACCAGGGGCGGATCCAAGGGGGGGGGGTCACATGGGTCATGGCCCCCCCTTGAGGCCCGGGGGCCCAAAGACCTTCCAGGGGCACCACCGGCCTATCAGGGGTATCACAGTCCTGACAGGGGCACCACAGGACCGCCAGGGGCACCACAGGCCTAGCAGGGACACCACGGGCCTGGTGCCCCTGGGCCCTGACAGGACTGTAACGCCCCTGACAAGCCTGAAGTGTCCCCGGCAGGCACGTGGTGCCCCTGACAGGCCTGAGGCGCCCCTGCAAGGCCGGTGGTGCCCCTGGCAGGCCTTTGGTGTCCATGGCAGGCCTGTGGTGTCCATGGCAGGCCTGTGGTGCCCTTGCTAGGCCTCTGGTGCCCCTGACAGGCTTGTAATGCCCCTGGAAGGACTGTGGTGCCCCTGGGCCCTGACAAGCCTGAGGTGCCCCTGACAGGCCAGAGGTGCCCTTGCTAGGCCTGTGGTGCCCCTGGCAGGCCTCTGGTGCCCCTGACAGGCTTGCGGTGCCCTTGGAAGGACTGTGGTGTCCCTGGGCCCTGACAAGCCTGAGGTGCCCCTGACAGGCCCGTGGTGCCCTTGTTAGGCCTGTGGTGCCCCTGGCAGGCCTCTGGTGCCCTTGCTAGGCCGCTGGTGCCCCTGGCAGGCCTCTGGTGCCCCTGCGCCCGGAGAGGACTGGTGCCCCTGAAAAGTCTGAAGTGCCCCTCGGCAGGCCCGTCGTGCCCCTGACAGGCCCAAGGTGCCCCTGTGAGGCCGGTGGTGCCCCTGGCAGGCCTATGGTGCCCCTGGCAGGTCTGTGGCGCCCCTGGCAGACCTGTGTTGACTGGTGCCCCTGCTAGGTCGCTGGTGCCCCTCACAGACCTGTGGTGCCCCTGGGCCTTGACAAGCCTGAGATGCCTGGCTATGACAGGCTCGTGGTGCCCCTGATAGACCAGTGGTGCCCTTGCTAGGCCTGTAGTGCCCCTGGCAGGCCTCTGGTGCCCCTGCTACCCCTGCGCCCTGAGAGGACTATGGTGCCCCTGAAAAGCCTGAAGTGCCTCTCGACAGGCCCGTGGTGCCCCTGGGCCCTGACAGGCCCAAGTTACCCCTGCGAGGTCGGTGGTGCTCCTGGCAGGCCTCTGGTGCCCCTGGCAGGTCTGTGGTGCCCCTGGCAGGCCTGTGTTGACTGGTGCCCCTGCTAGGCCGCTGGTGCCCCTCACAGGCCTGCGGTGCCCCTGGGAGGACTGTGGTGCCCCTGCCCCTAGGGGTGCTCATGGGCCCAACAGGCCCGTTGTGCCCCTGACAGGCCTGTCGTGTATACTTGCTAGACCTGTGGTGCCCCTGCTTCCTGGCAGGCCTGTGGTGCCCCTGGCGGGCCTGTGGCGCCCCTACAAGGCCGTAGGTGCCCCTGACAGGTTTGTGGTGTCCCTGGAAGGACTTTGGTGCCCCTGACAAGCCTGAAGTGTCAAGGACAGACCCTTTAGACGCCAGGGTCAAGTTCGTCGGACTGACAACGATTTGCTTACCTGATAACGTTCCTGGTAAGTACTCATTACTCAGCGTCCACAACATATATACACATAGCACATTCATATATACTTGCTTACAATTGGTAAATGTGGTTGTGGCTAAGAGGTAAGATACTGACTAAAAATAAAAAATAAAAATAAAAAACTGAAAATGG